TCTCTGTTTTGAACAATCTTGAGGCAAACCTCAGTGACACATTCATAGTCTGGGCCGGCACAATCGTACATGATATTCTGATCGATATCAAGGGCTTTTCCACGACATGGTTTTCCTTCTTGCTTGATGTTGGCCACAACAGTCATGCTGACACATCGATGGGCCACACAATTCATACCATCAGTGATGGTCCCATAACTACCCACACAATTGTCTCTTACTGAGCAGTATTCGCCCAACATTCGAGTTCTTCGATGAGTGCATCTCATGGTTGAAAAAAGGACAAGTCAACCAAGTGGGTCCACAGGTTGATGCAGTAGCAGTTCCTGTACAAATTTTACCCAAATTGTTCAATACTCGAGAGGTGGAAAGACATGTTCGATTACCACTATTCGTGTCAAATCCATTGACAAAACCTACTGGACACACGAGGAGAGAACCCTTTGGATTGACAGTGTCTTGATAGGTCATGGTTTTGATAAAATTGGAGGTGCAGGATTGTGCCAAGCTCCATGAGAGAAGTTTAGTGGAGAGAAATAGGACTGCTATTGTGGCAAGTATTGATTGAAATATCAAGATGTGGTGTTGGAGTCTCATCATGTTGATATTGGCAATGACTCTGTGTTGTTGTTGATAACGGAGGGTAATGAGACTGAATAGATCAATCAATGGAAGAAGGTGTTTGTTTTTTTTGATCGATTGGGAATGGATCATACTGAGGGTCGAAAAATGTTTGGACCCATTTGCCTTTAAGGATTCCATCGCAAAACACGATGGTTATACTTGTCTTATTCGATTAAAAAGAGGTTTATCCTTTAGACAGAACGTTTCACTCCTCCACTTTTTGGAAGGTTCACATCAATAATTTGCCAAGCTAGTGCCTACTAGTAGGAGGTATTACTTTCCAAAGTTAAATATTTTTCCGTGTCGGCATCAGAATGAGATGTCAACTGTGGAAATTTGGACCTATTGAGAATCAGCTTGCCTTTTAATGACACTGCTTCACGATTCAAAGTAATTCTCTTTTATTGCAGAAATTGTATTGCGTCGATTATTGAAGTCAGTAATGATGCGTTTATCACTACAAATTAGCAGGCTGGGACGTTGAAGAAAGTAATCGTCGATGCGTCGTCGTCGTCGATCCACAAGAAGAGACAGTGAAATTCGTTTGATGATGATGATGAACATGCTTGTGATACAATCGAATATTATTCTTTATTTTGTTTCTTCTTTTGTTTTCTCAATTCTTTCTTGAATTTCATAAATGAATCCATGAGAGAGTCAGCAATGTCCTTCTCTAATTCATCAAATAAATGAGCATCCATGGATGAATTCTCCATTATTGAGAATTCATCGAGCTTTTCTTGATATTTTCTTGAAATTGTAATGAGGTTGGAAATGGATGTTCACCATTCACATCAATAAATTCTGTGAAAATCTTAAATGCCATTTCATACTTGTTCTTTTCAATTCTTAATTGTTCTTGATTAGATTCATCTCCAATACGATTCAATGGTAATGTACCTCTCAATTCCATGGACTTGTCACACATTTCACGATAAGTATGACAATTCTCCAAGAAGGTATACTTGTCTAACTTGTTCTCTTTTTCACAAAATTCCTTAAACAATTGACTAGTCTTTTCATTTCTCAATGTTTCAAGAATCATGAGAGAAGTTGCTTTCAATAGCTTACGAGTAGATGTTTGTTCACTTGTAAGAGCCATCACAAAGATACTAATGACAATAGGAACAGAGATTACAACTCCACTCAACACCAACACCATATTCACAGTACTCGAATATTTTAAATATTCTTGTTTTTGTGAACTGAGTGTCTTAATCTCATTGGTCACAAATTCTATAAAGTGAGAGGCATAACTCTCCATTACGATATACGTGATAGATTTCAATAATTTGTTAGCAGTCTTCAAATCACCCTGTCGAACTGCTTCAATCACTTGTTGATCAAACTTGACATTGTAAGGATTTTTAGGATCGAATTTTGTTTTTTGATTGACATCAGAAGGTAAATGTTTAGACAATTCCAATAAAACACGAGAGGTATTCGCTTGTGATTCATAATACAAGGATACATAAGAGAGTGATCCAGTGACTGCTGCCAAGTTGACAATACATGACGTACGATCATAGAGTTCAATAAAACGTGCACGTTGCAATAGTAAAGAAATTTCTCTTTTCGCTTCGAGTCGAAAAGAATTTCCCACCACCACAGCCACTGCAATGAAACAACAAATATTGATCATCATACCTAACAGAGAGAGAACTCGAATGAGATTCAATTCAATCACTCCACAACAAGTTGGAATTCTAAATATTGTCGAAGAGTGAGTAGTGGAACGAGTGGAAGTCTTGGATGTTGTTTTAGTGAAAACAGTCACTGTTGCTTGAGGATGTTTGAGTGTGAGTGTTGTTGGTGTGAGTGTTGGTTCAGCATGAATGGGTGTCATGGTCATGGCGATGGGTGGTGGTGGTGGTGTTGAACGACAAAGACTCAAAGATTTCTCTCTTCTTCGATCCATTTCCTGCTCGTGTTGTTGGAGTGATGAAAGTTGAAGAGGTTTTATGGAATTTATGCGTTTTGTTGTGAAATGAACAATGATACTATCGTCATCACTGCAAGCATCATTGTCATCATTATTGTCTCGAGGAGGAGTCATGACATGAGAAATGTCAATGGGTTGAGAGGGTTGTTGAGGAAAAGAGGTGATGGTAGTAGTAGTTGTTGTTGTCAACACTGTCAGGGTGTTGTTACCATCATTTGGTGAGGGTAGTGGATCTTGCATCTTGTGTTTTGTTTTGAAAAGAATGATGATGAAGAGACTGGTGCACCATGCATTTCACCCATGTCATTAGTGTGTCGGTCTCGTTGCTGAAAAGTCAAGTACTTCCATGATTGAACCAAAAATAGAGGAAAATTACAGATGACTAAAAAGGATATTGTATTGAGAGCGATGGTGAGGATGATCTCATGATTTCTTCTTGTTGTTGAGTTCACAATCTTCATGGACTTGTCCAAATCAGCAAGTGTCTCACACCATATTGCGTAATATGTGGCGAATTAGTAGCTTTTTGAAAACGCTTCCTCCTCGTCCTCTTCTATGCGATGATTGGTGGATGGGAGTGCTTTTGTTGTGTCCTTTGCCAATTCACTCTCTTTTGAATGACTCTCTTGAGTTTCTTCAATACTATTTAAATCCCAATAATGAGGTGGTGTTGGTGGAGCAGTGGAAACTAACAACGGAGGAGATGTATTGAATGGAAGTGATGATGGTGGTTGTTTGGAAAGAGATTTTGAAGAAAAGCTCCCTGAAGAATCTGTTGGTGTGGTTGTTGTCCATATTGTTGATGATTTGTGTGTCGAGTGGTGATGGTGGTGGTGATGATGATGGTGACTACTTGTAGTATTCTTATGTCTGGCACATTCTCTGATAATTCTATTTTTTCGTTTCTCA